AGTCCCTCATCCCTGGTACCATTCTGGTAAATCTCCTCTGCACCCTCTCCAAGGCCTTGATATCCTTCCTAAAGTGCGGTGCCCAGAATTGAAGCCTAACAATGAGTTATAAAGGTTTAGCAGAACTTCTTTGCATTCGTACTCTAAGCGTCTATTTATAAAGCCAAGGATCCCATAAACTTTTTTAACAGCTCTATCAACCTGTCTTGCCACCTTCGAAGACTTGTGTATATGAACCCCCAGGTCTCTCTGCTCCTGAACCCCTTTTAAAACTACCATTTATTGTATATTGACTCTCCTTATTCTTCCTCCCAAGATGTATCACCTCACAATTCTCTGCATCAAACTTCATCTGCCATGTGTCTGCCCATTTCACCAGTCTGTCTATGTCCTCCTGCAGTCTGCTACCATCCTCCTCACTGTTTACTACATTCCCAAGTTTTGTATCATCAGCAAACTTTAAATTTTTGCTCGCTATATCCAAGTAATTTATGTATATCAAAAAGAGCAGTGGACCAAATACTGAACCCTGGGGGAAACCACTGTATACCTTCCTCCAGTCTAAAAATCAACCGTTCACCACTAGGCTCTGCTTTCTGTCTCCCAGCCAATTTCGTATCTATGCTACCACTGTCCCTTTTATCCCATGGGGTTCAATTTTGCTAATCAGTCCATCATGTGGCACCTTATCACACACCTTCTGAAAGTCCATATACACTACTGTATATCAACTGACTACCTTCAGCAATCCTCTCTGTAATTTCATCACAGAACTCAATTAACTTTGTCAGGCACGATTTACTGCAACAAATCCATGTTGACTGTCATTAATTAACTTACGTTTCTGTGCAAACTGGCTATTACCAAAGGATCCAGCCCCATATATTGATGACCTGCTAGCTTCCACTGACGTCAGTGTTGGCATCAATGTTGTAATGGATGAGTGCCAATACTAAGGAGTGGAACTGGTGACTAATTGAATAATGTGCGCCAATTTATTCAACAGACTAGAGATAGCTATTTACCCAAGGGAGACTTCTAGGAGTTCCCCTGAAAGAGAGTTCCTCTGTGAGAAGAATTGGAAAGTCAGAACTGGTGATTCCAGACAGGCGTCAGCATCAGATGTTAAGCAGGATTATATCAGCAATTGGTCCCAACCCAACCAGGACTCCTCTGGACAATGAATTGGCATCTCCAGAGATGGCAATACCATTGTGTAAGAACATAGGAATGTACAGAGCTGACGATTGCAATACATCTGGAAGGTTCTTATTAAAAATGAATATTCCCTTCACTATTCTTTCATATCTCTGTCCCCCGATGCATATGTTGACCAAATGGCTATCTAATTCCCTCTTGAATTTGGTGACACCATTTGCCTTCCTGGTTAGTCTATTCCACGTTAAAGCAGTGAAATCAAATGACAGCTCTCCCTCTTCTAAGGCTCAGTCTGTGCCCTACAGTTGTGGAGTTTGCCTGGATGGTGTTTTAATTTGTGAGAGTTTCTAACGAATATTTAACTGATGGTTAAATCCTGAGGTTGCTGGGATGTCTCAGAGGTTCATCTGCTTGGACATCTTCTGCTGGAGAACAGCAGGTCAGTATTCTGTCACACAGAATTTGGACATTTAAGATTAGCGTTTGACCAGAGTTCAAATGAGTCAGATTTGGGAACTTATAGGATTCATTCGTTACAAATCCTTTTGCAAATCTCTCAAATTTGTTCCCAGCATTAAATACATTATTAACGTTCACTGGTCAAAATCCTGAACTCCAGCCATATACTTGGTACCAGTGTCAGCCTTCCCAGGTCTGTCTGCAGAACCTTGAGACCAAGTAGATGATGTTGGATGATGAAGCTAGTTATTTATTATAATCCTTGGATTTCGTGTAGCAGCTTACCACATCATCAAGACTTCTCAAAGTGCTTCACAAGATTTGACTGTGAATAGTGACTGTATTTGTGGGCGAAAGCAGTAGTTAATTTGCGCATGGCAATGTCCCACAAACCTTGAAGTGAATGGCCAATTTTATATGAGGGGACAGTTTGCCAGGACACTGGGAGTGTCCGGGAGAGGAGTGAGAGCGCTGGCAACTAAGCCAGCAGGGGCGAGAGAGTGCTACCAACTGAGCCAGGAAGACACCTACAACTTAAGCCTTTGAGGATATTAGCAGCTTCTCTCCAAACATGAATTTACAGTCGCTTGGTCATCTTCTGTGAAAAGGCTCTAAGCTATGAGATGAACAATGAAGTTTGCATTTGCTCTCAAAATATTGTTGGGGGAATGAGATCATGTAAAGTGATGAGAGTTGATGAAAGCCATAGATGGTATGGATGAGAACTGTAGCCAATAAAGAATTGTAAAGCATCGGTTTGCAACCAAACATGGAGGTTATAGGGAACGGCACAACCAGAGCTGAACAAATGCCTCAAAAAATACAACAGTTCTGCTGGGGCTGGTAAAGGTGAAGAGAGGCCAGGTTTGAGTGGTGCAGATATTGGAATGAAAGACAAACTTTCAAGCCTTCGCTTGAAACTTCGAGGCTCATAGAGAGTCCACCAGTGTGGAGTTTTCCCTCGAGTTGAAATGAACTGCTTTTGAATGGTCCTTTTTAATGGAGCTACTAAAAATAGTTGCTATTAAATATTATATACGACCTCGTCTATTTAATCTGAGTTATTGGGTTTAAATCACATCTGCTTCAATGTTTTGTGGACATTGTGCTGATTTTCTTTTGGAACACATGCTGTCCTAATGTCTACTTGCATTACTTTCCTGCGCCAGCATTACTGGATTTGGACTCGGCCAGCCTCTTCATTTATAAAGAATTTTTNAAAAAACATATAGTTCCATGGTATTTCTTCTCACAAAGAACATTTGAGCCCTGCAATGCTTTGTGGTCGTCGCCTCGAGACCATAATAGTCTTTATATTTCAGGGTCATGCTGAACTTTGTAAGACTCTTAAATTAGGCTTTAATTTGGATACAAGCTTCCTGCAAAAATAACTGGAAACAATTTTAATTGAATCCCCAAATTCTGCACATTCTTAAATTTTAATACAACGGTTTTAGGGCTACCACTGTGAGATATTTCAGGCCTTAGTCCTACTTTATTTCAGGTAGGTAGCATAAGCATAAACTACCTACCGTTAATCAACCTGAAATCAGCTTTTGTTCGCCTCAGTTCTTTTTGTACTTTCAATCACCTTTCCCTTCTCCACAACCCTCAGCTCCCACTCCCAGCTTGGGTGCCCAATCATTAGTTAAACCCTTTGAGACTTCCTCCTGATGTGAAAGGCTCTATATAAATGTAAATGCGTTATACTGTATTGTTTGTTGCTTTCTGTTGTCCAGCGCTTTCATACCCCAAATCTCTGGCCCCTGCACCTTGCCCCTCTTACCCATCTTCATATACCTGAAGACGTTCCTCTTCAACCATGCCTTTGGTCACCTCCCCACCCTTTCTGGCTAGGTGTCAAGCTATGCCTGTTAAGCACTACGATACTACCTGTGTGAAGGCTGCTATAATTGCAAGTTGTTGTTTTCCTGTTCCGTCTTCTATTAATATTTCTTCAGTTTCAATTTCCTCCACTTTTTGTATAAATTTAGGTACGGAGGCGGTGGGGGAAGGTCTTTGAAAATAATTTATTTTTTATTTTGAAGGGTAATTAGTTAAACCAGAAACTAGATTCCAGTTACACATATAGTTTTCATTTTGTTTGCCAGCCATTGAAACATAAACCTATTGCGAAACATAATTGACCATCACTGTGCCCAGAATTTGTCAATTTGTTGAATTCATTCTTAACTTTCAAGTGGGTTTTCTGAAGTTCTTATGAGAACTTATAGAAAATCAGCTTCAATGCAAAAGCTGTATTTAAGAATTTACCAACTTTTGGAATGCTCTGAAATGCTACAATAATTGGGTAAATTCAGACCCAGATGGGATTTATCCCCCAGTTTACATATTTAAAGGGGAATTTTCACGAAACCGTAATCTCCAGAGAGAAGAGGCAGCTTGTATATCAAAACTGCATCTGTCCTCAAAAATACATAAAATAGGAGGCATAAAGAGAATAGATCATGGTCCATAGTGTAAATGACAAACATGTACACACAAGATAATAACTAGTCACTTTCATTTGTGTATATTTCTCACTCGTGAGCATTATTTTTATTTAAACATGGAACCTCTCACAATAGAAATGTTAAGGAAAATATGACACCTCTTTAGGAAAGCTATTTAAAGATGAGTGGCATAATTTAGCAATATCACTATTTGGTCTTTTAAGATACTATGCCTAACAGCAACTAACAAGTATCCTCACTTTACTGAAGTGTGCAACAATTCTCCTTTAATGTGTGCATTAAATTCACCTTTAGTGGTACAATTGTATTGGTAGCAAATACAACTTGAGTTTGTATAGCACCCTTCACGTACGGTAATGGCCCAGAGAGAGTACCATGGCAATGTTGGGCACCGAGCAAGGGAGAAGGTGACTATATGGGCCGTCGAAGAGGTGGGTTTTAAGGTGTGATTTAAATATATATACACAAAGGGGTAAATTGGAGGGATTGAGACAGGGAGTTCCAGAGATTAAGGATGTAGTAGCTGAAGTCTTAGCCACTGATAGTGGCATGGAGTGTTTTTTTTTGGGTGGTGGGGGGATGCAGTGGATCTGAGTTACAAAATCGTGCATTTATATAACGCTCTTTCACGGGGGTAGAGTCTCACAGCACTTGTTAGACTAGCAAAGGGTGGATAAAGAAGTGGGATACAAGCAGGTCAGAGAGGTAGGGAGGTGTGAAGACCATAAAGGGATTTGTGTGTGAAGGTGTAGATCTTGAGGTTGATCTTTTCAGAGACAGGGGAGCCTGGGAAGGATTTGGGAGATGTTGGATGCAGGTAAGGATATCAGCAATGGAGTTTTGTATAAGTACAATTGCAACCCAATAATTATTTTGCGTGTAAAAAAGGACAAGACAACACAAGCACGATTTGGATTCGGTAAGAGAGTTTATATACACTTATGGCTCCATACAATAACAGCAAAGATTGTTCTTGTGTCTTTAAGGTACATTATCAGGCACTTGTCTATGAAACAATATATTTAGTTACACACTGCATTGTTAAGGAAATAAAGTGGTGAAACGATCAAGTACTCCTACAGCCTTTTTAAACTGCAGCGAGCTATTTACATCCCAATTCCAGGTTATTGTTGGTCTGCGGAACATCCGTCAAAAGAAGGGTCAGTTTTGTGCAAGTTATTTTGGATTTTTCTTTCTTTTTTAAAAAAAACTATTTGTGCTGCAACACTTTTATTTATAAATCGGTCGCATCTTTTAAAATCGATTATAAGTTAATAAATGTAAGTATTTTTAAATTTTATAGTTACTGATTCATAAAAGTACATTTATTAAAAACACTTTTTTTTAAAAAAGCTTAAGTGCAATTAATTTTCGATGGTTACAAACTATTGGTCCAATATTGTATTCCCTCTTCCCAGGGATGCTCTGCTGACTAAACCGCCATTTACATCAAGGAACATAGGTGGCGGGTGACAAGGGCTGGAGGGGGCACAGCCTCCCTCCAATCTATCTACAGCTCAACTCTTTAAAGAGCGCTGGAAGGGGAACCGCTAGGACCACAGCCAGTCCTCCGAGCAGCCCCAACCCGTGTTACCTGCGGGTCTCCTCGTCGCTCTCCCAATTCATCGGCAGTGCCCGCCCACCTTCCAGTTCGTGGGGGGGTGGGGGGGAGACGGGGTTTGCTCATTAGGGTATCTTCACCTCTGATTAGCCAATGGACCTGTCAGTCAAGCCAATGGCTCACCTGTCTTAAAAGGGGAAGGATCCTTTAACTAAATTTTACTCAGCCCCCCCCTCGCACTACCCCCCTAAGAATATTTTCACCCGCCGCCTATGTCAAGCAGTACATAAACTCATCAGTTGTACTGAGAAAAGAACAGCATCAGTTTATCAAAAAGCAGAGTGATTTTTTTCATTCCTAAGTTCTAGATAAACTTTATATTCCACTTATGGTTACATATAGCTATATATTTGAAAACCAAACCTCTTTGTTACATTTAAAATATCTGGATATCTCTATATTATAATATACTTTTAACAGTACAAACCTGCAAAAAACAAAATTCAAAGTTAAGACTTTATATGCATAGGTAAGATCATCAGCCCATTGTTTTTCACAAAGCAAATCATTTACAATTATAGTAGTTCTACTTAAAGCTTTCTTGAGAATCTATATTAAAACTATCATTGAAATGCTGCAGCATAAAAATGTACTGTACACGCGCTTACGTAAGGGTATGTAACACTTTGTGGTACTTTAAATTTAGTTTAACATTAAAAGCAAGAGTGAAAATTCATAAGAAATTTGGATTGTTAAATAGATTCAACAAAATGTCAAGACCAAAAAACATAAGAACCTTACAATTTTTACATTAGTCCCTGCTCAAAAAAAACATCCACATCAGCCAAAACTTTCATTAAATTTAGAAAACTGTGATTTTATATGGTCTGGCGTATTTACATAAAAACAGAGAGTCACTTTAATAGCACCCTACCTAAGAAGGTGTACAAATCTATCAGTTTACATTAAAAAAAAGTCTTATTATATAATCCAGTTAATAAAAAAATCTTGAAGGTGCTCCATGCCCCTGATTTTTTTTGGTGTGTGTGTGTGTGAGAAAGAGTGCGATTTCTGTAAACTCACAAAGGGAAAGAAAAACAAAAATGTTTATAATGATTTGCATCATCTTAAACATAATGGGACGGGGTGGGGGTGGAGGGCGGGGGAGTGAGAGGAATAGTTCAAATTCACATGTGAATGATGCTAATGCAATTGCACAGCATTACATTTCATTCCTAAAGAAGTTACATCCCAAAACATGTCAGTTTATGATCAAACAGAACCCCATTATAACACTGAATGCCATCTGATTGAGCGGTAAGCTGTAACACATTGAATGAGTCCATCTTTTGGCTTTCTCTGGCGTCTCTGTGGTCAAATGTTCCAATGGCCGTGAATCACTGAAGCACTTTGTCGACGTTTGTTTTCCTTTAAATATTCGAAAGTCCATCTTTTAAGAATTTGTCATTTTTTAAATATACGAAAGAACCAAAATTCTTTCCCCTCTCCCCACCATTATAATCGTCTCTTGCACCGTGCGATTGACCTATCCCGAGGCTTCTAATGACACTACGCTGAAAACCAGCTGCTAGGAACAGTGTGAGAGTGAGCTAAGATACCTCCCCCTTCAGTTATTCCTTCATTCCTCTCAGCAATTGGTCCAACGTACACCAAAGAACTCAGCAATTTGTATGTGTGTGTGTGTGTGTGGGGAGGGGGAAAGAATGCTGAAACTGATGTGAGAGTGAAAAATACTGGGTCTATTCTTTATAAAACTCTATGGCCAAAGTGCCAGTAGGAACCCGCAGATATTGCTGAGAGATGTCTCCATAGCCTAATTCAGGCCTCAACAATTCGGGTTTCAATCATCTGCTAACTGCGTTTTAAGAGCTGCAATGTAGGATTTTGTCCCTTGGAAACATCTACACAGCACAAGCCTCAGCAATGCTCTCTTCCAGTCTCCCCTTTTCCTCCCCACCAGTCCTACGACATATGTACAGGGTAAATATGAGACCTCAGTGATTGGGTTTAAGTGGCTCGAACGATAGGGAACTCAGAGACACTGAGAGGATTTTGGCCCAGTCGTGCAATGGTCTCAAAACTGAGTCTTGTCCAACATCTGTCCGTCAGCTGTTTGAAGAGACAGGAATCACAGTTTAATCAACGGCACTCACATGAAGTCCAAATCGCAGACTTAACACTGCACGATTGACTAAACAAGGACAGCAAGAGGCAGGAGGGATTATCTTTCCTGTGCAACATTTCTTTTTCGAATAAACCTTTTCTGTAAAATTTTCTATATTTTTTATTTGTGTTTTTTTTTAAAAGCAGCAGATGCTGGTGAGTTTTTAAAAGGGGCAAAAAAAAAATGTGATCGAATCCTGAGTAAGTAAGGGTTGACAAATGGCATTTAATATAAAGAAAGTACTTTTGTTTTAAAATCCCTGATATTCTTGTAGTAAAGGTTCACGTTCAAATATCGCGGCTTATTGGATGCTGGTGTTCTCTATAGCCTCGAGTCACTTCAAGGCTGCCTTTAGAATACAACCCGTATCAAAGCATTCCACTCTCTCACCGCAGCATGCCACATGGGTGCAGAGGGTTGGGGGCCGTGGATGGGATATAGTTTACATTTCTGGCGTTAAAGGCCCCTTCAGGGCTGTTAAAATAAAATGTGCTTTAAGCCCTGCAATAAGCAACGCCAATAGAGCAAGAGAGCAAGCCGTATGTCCTGAGCTTTGCGAATGGGAGGAGATCTTTAATACCACTGTGTGTCACCTCACCCCGACGAGCTCCAACATGCCTGCATATTGATCCCACACTCGAATGCAAATCAGCCTGTGCGGATCAAAGGTTAAGACTCCACCACTGTTGCATCAAGATGGCATTTGTAAACCGAATAGCAAAGGTGGTGTTTGCGTCAAAGCTTGCCTAACCGACCACTGTAAAGTTTGGAGACGGACAAGGAACTGGTGACCTTTGTTACAGCCAAATGGTTAACAGCCAGATCTAACCCACCCTATGTATCGCTCGTGATCAAAAGGAAAATAGACAATCGGCTAAGTAAGCGCACGGTGCACATCTATTTGGAAACGACATTCTGTAGTGAGTTTGGCACTTTGTAGCCAAACAGTTCCAAATTCCAGAGGCCTTATCTGAAGCAGCACATAACCTGCAAACATTGGGCAAACATCCTGTGCAGGAAAATGTTCCCTGCTGCCAAGTATGATGAAAGAGGGGAAAAAAAAGGAGCATTTATCAAGAGATTCGGCGAGAGGGTGAAGGATGTCTTTAGGGCTGTTTTCCCCCTTTCCTTCTCCCCCCTCCCTCCACCCTCTCGATTCAATCCAGTCTGGGTGCTTTCAGAGACGTCTAGAGGGGAAATAAAAAGGGGGGGAGGGCATTAGTCAGAAAACGTCAACAACCTATTCAACTTTTGCAGATTAAACTAAACGCAAGCGAATCAAGTATTTATATTAGTGCAGAGTGGGACACTGTCCTCACATTTGACCTTAAACTTCTAGCCAGTTTTTTTTAAAAAAAACGTCACTTCGAATTCAGTTAAATAATCTTATTGAAACCACACAAAACTGTCTGCAACCGGCAATAATGGGGATGAGACATATGTTTAACCCTTTAGGCTAGTCTAAAGAATCTTAGAACCTCACTTTCTTGGAGGCTCCTGGTCAGTTTTTTTGGACTGAGTGTGAATTCACATTGCTGCGCACACATTGCAATAAGTCGATTAAAAACAACAATGTCCTTTGTAGTTAGAAGGAACGTGGCTATTGCAATTAGGAGGCACCAATGACACTAATTAATTGCCATTCTTAAAGAGGAATTCCAGTGACCGAGATTATAAAAATGATTGGCAAAGCATCGAGCACAGGACCAACACTGACTCAATGCTCCTGCAAACGTTGTGAGAAAAGCTGGAGGCAGTTATAATTAACCCCTCAATCAGGTCTTAATCTTACTAACACTTCTAAAATGAGTTGTTTCCCATGTTAAACAAACTCCCTCCATTACCTCACACAAGCCCCAAAGTGCCACTTGTCAAAGCCTTGTAAAACCATTTCATCTTAAAAGAATGCACAGAATTTTACAAAATTCAGCCTTAATTTAGAAGTGATTTTTACACATTTCTTAAGATACAGCTCTCTGCATCAGCCTGGCTCAGTCGGCAGCACTCTCGTCTCTGAGTCAGAAGGTTGTGGGTTCAAGCCCCACGTCGGGACTGAATTCACAAAGTCTAGGTTGACACTGCAATACAGTGCTGGGGGTGTGCTGCACTGTCATATGTGCTTTCCTTTGGAAGAGAAATTCAACCATTCCCGTCTGCCTGTTCGGGTAGATGCCAAAGCACTATTCGAAAAGAGAAGGGAGTTTCTCCCGGTGTCCTGGCCAACAATCCCCCAAATAAAATTGGTCATACATTGTTTGTGGGACATTATTGGTAACAAACTGACTGTAATATCAAAGGGCGACTTGGGACGTCTTCCACCCTGGGATGTCTTTCCGACGTGAAGGGCGCTATAGAAGTATAATTTGTTGTTGTTGGGGCTTGAACTCACGACCTTCTGCCTCAGAGGTCACTTCTGACACCCTAATATGCAGTAAACTGGGTAGACCGCACTATACGTCATCTGGGGCAGACAGATGTAAATGTGCAACACCTCACTGCTGGATTTACTGAATTAAAACCTGGAAATATTCCAACTAAACTGACGAAAATGGCCTCTCATTTATGGTTTTTAACACACAAAGTAAAAGGCAGGTAAGAGCAGCTTTGTGTGCAATAATCCTAAAATGATCGAGGTACTTGGATTTCATGACAATAGTACAAAAGAGATAGGAATTTATTTTGCTTTGCGTAGAATAGCTGCCACATTTGCCTAAGAACACCACACACTTTACACACTTGACCATAATTACGTTTGAAATGCTTTGAGAAACTTCAACACATAAAGTGCTATTAAATCAGCAAGTTCTTTCCTTAACTCTTTACGTGAGTGAGTGCTCTGCTCTGTGCAGGGCTGGCTGCAAATTCATCTCCCACTGCCCAAATCCTACACAGTTTACTCTCAGTTCTGATTACGTGAGAAACATGCAGAGAATGCTTAGTCCCTGTGGTTCACAGTAGAGAAATGAACGCTCAGCTATTCTGTCTCACAACAGAACCTCGAGGTCCTCATCCTCACCTATAAAACCCTTCACGTCCTAGTACCTTCCCATTCTCTGTGATCTTTTCCTACCCCACTCCTCCGCTCGGCCAATTCAGATTTACTGTTTACCCCTCTCCCCTCCCACGGACACAGCCCCTTTGCACCACCATCGATGGCTGAGCTTTCAGAAGAAAAGCCTCTAACCTCTGGACCACTCTCTCTTGACTCCTCCATTTCGTCCCCTACCTCTCTCTTTCTCTCTCTTTAAATCTTGCCTTAAAAACTACCTCTTCGAACAAGTCTATGATCACCTTCACTCTACTCCTCTCCCTTCTCCACTGCTCGGTATCCAACCCCACAGAATAAATTGGTCACTCAATCCATGACTTTTTGTGCGATACTGCTTTGTGCAATTGGCTGCCGCATTTCACCCACAAATATACAGTCAATTCACTTTTTATTTGAGACATCTCGAAGACATGATAAGGCGCTATATCAAATGTAAGTATTATTATCATTAGTTTACGTGAAGAGCACTTTATATAAATGCAAGTTAATTATTATTATACATCCATGGAATGGTGCATAATGGCCAAAAAGAAAGGTTGTGGGGGAAAAGAAGTGAAGGGGGGACAGAAGAGAAAGAGGGGAATATATAACTAAATAAAAGTTTAGTTAACTCCATCCTAGTGTGGTAAGAGTATAAAACCCAGTTTTAGTTTTGCAGTGGTGCAGTACAGTGCTGTATCTAATGCTCTTAAGGCTTGTGAAATGCTATTGCTTCTCTCTTGCACTGAGTACTTGCATCAGCTGATACCTTAAGACTAAAACCTCAAGAATGAAAGCAGTAGCCACTACAAAAGACTCTCCAGTTCGCACAGCTCCTTACACCAGATACCTGGAGTTATATTTATCACAAAATCAGCTTCAGCTCAGCAAAGCTTCAAAGTCAGCTGATCATCACTGAGCTCAGAATGATCAGCTCTTTTCTCACACTTCAATTTCACGCTGATTACACAGAAGCACAGAAATGTACGACAGTGGGAGACCATTTTTAGCCCATTGCATTAGTGTCGGTGTTTGTGCAAGTACAGTTGTGGACCATTTCTGCAGTATAATAATAATAATCCTTGTATTTGATACAGTGCCTTGTCACGTCGTTGAGACGACTCAAAGCACTTCACAGAATATATTGTAAAGTGCTTTGCAACAGCAGTGACTCACAAACTGTTGGATTGAGTGACCACATTTTTTTTGGAGGGATTATTACCCGCAGAAAGTGATCCACCAAACGCCTAACAACTGTGTTCTGACTTATTGCTAGGTAAACAGAGGCGTGTGGAGTAAGGAAACTTGCCTAAGGTTTCGTCAGAGAATCAAACCCAAGTCTTCTCGCTTGTGAGGCGAGTGCTTTAACCAATACGCCTCAGGATTCCACATACCACCTTATCATATCGTCGAAATGTTTCAAAGTGCTTCACAGGATTTACTGTAAAGTGCAGTGACTGTGTATTTGTTGGCAAACTCAGCAGTCAATTTGCACACAGCGATGTCCCACAAAAAACAGCCACAAAGTGAATGCCCAATTTTATAATAATAATAATAATCCTTGCATTTGATATAGCGCTTTTCACGTCGGGAGGACGTCCCAAAGCGCTTCACAGAATATACTGTAAAGTGAATTGACTGTATATTTGTGGGCGAACGCGGCAGCCAATTGCGCACAGCAATGTCCCACAAACAGTCGTAGATTGAAAATGACCAATTTATTATTGTTTTTGGTTTTGGAGGGATTATTATTAGGTGTGTGGAGTAAGGAAACTTGCCCAAGGTTTCGCCCTCTGTCCGGAATTGAACTCAGGTCTCTCGCTTGCAAAGCGAGTGCTCTAACCACTGAGCTACAGGACTCCAGACCCCTTTATCTGGGTGATTGTTAACCAGGACACTGAAAGAAAATCTCTTTTTTCTTTCATGTCCACCTGAACAGGGAGACAGAACCTCAAAAATGTCTGAAGGTTGCCACCTCCGACAACCCCCTCTCTCCCAAGGGCACTGAATTGGAGTATCAGCCTAGACTACGATCGCATGCCCTGATGTGGGGCTTAAACCCACAACCTTCTAACTCACATGTAAGAGCACTACCAGCTAAGGCAGGTAGACACCTACTACAAGAATGCAACTGCTGATAGAAATGATAGCATTAGCTTTTTGAGACACCCCGCCCCACTCCCCCTTCATGATAGGCTCTACATAAAAGTAAACTGTTGTTGTTCTTTTCTCCCTGCACCCCCACCTTAGAGATCTATGCATCTTCACCCCTAAGATTCTCAGCTGCTCAACATCATATTACCAGCTCTTGCATGTATCTCACTGAGCTCACACCAAACACTGCAGACTTCCAATCTCGCCTTTGTGATTAAAACCAATGCAGGCCACTTGCTTTGGTGCAAAGTCTTTGATACCCACCTGTCAGTAATTCAGCCAGATACCCAGCTGTGTGTGGACGCCTTTGAGCTGTTTGAAAAGCTTTGGTTATTCAATACAGAGTCAAAGTTAAAATCTAGAGCATCACCGTCCAGTAGATCATTGCGAATAATGGAATCCATGTCACAGTCCAGCCTCTCGATGAGCACACCGTCCAAATCACTAGGAAGCTTCTCCTGGTTCACAGCGGAGAAATTCATTCTTCCATAGCCACTGTTAAGAGAGTACTGATCCATTGTACTTATCTGCATGGGGACTTGTAGCTGGCTTTTCGGCATGGCAAGATGCCGGATGTTTGCAGGATGACTCATGATGCTGACTGCGTGTGGCAAGGCACGGCCATTGAGAGCGACTGAATGCTGGTGACCTGGATGCTGCTGGCTGTTAGGGCTCATCATCTTGGTGTGATGGGGCTGGCTGGGGTACGAGGACCTCACAGTTGTGGCAATCATCATATTTTGGCTGGGCATCCTGCTGGTGGCCTGTGACACCACGGAGCTCACTTGTGGCAACAGATCACTGTGCGGCGGAGAGTCTGACGTCAGCAGCTCCTTAAGGAGTCCTGTCGGGCAGGTGTACGGGTGGATAGGTCCAAAGCCCTGCTTGTTTTCTTGTAGCGTTTGCAAAGGAATTTGCTGCAGAGTGTTCATGCTGCTTTGGGGGTAGAGGCACTTCCTGTAGTCGGGCGGCTGAGAACTGATGGACGTGTTCTGCGACGCAAAGGAATAGCCGGTGCTTTGCTGCATGAGTGAGGCAGATGAAGGCTGGGTAGAGGCGACCATGGACGAATTTGGGGACAAGAGGTTAAGATTATCCAACAGATCTTCCATGACGTTTTCAGACATGGAATTGTTCATGGAACTGGTCATCTCGCTGAGACTCGGCAGCGTTGACCCCATTTTGCTGGAAGTCCCGGGGTATACTAAAGGCGACATCTGATGCACCTCGCTGTCCCCGATGTCGTCCTGCTCGGGCATAATGGGCGACAGCCTCCCACTTAACGTGCTGGCGTTTGAGCTAGTTCTAGTTCTGAAAGTGGTCCAGGAGTCAAAGTCATCGTTGCTGTGGGAGTTGGGGCTTCCAGGCCATTTAGAAAACTGTGCACCGGGACTGTCCGCATTACCGTCCTGGCCTGCCTGCAGGGCTGCCTTCTTCTTAGCAGCTCTCCCTCTGCTCTTAGCAAACTTACTGTTGTTGTCCATGGAGGCAGCTCTACGCCTCGGGGATTTGCCATTCTTCCCGCCTTCGGGATTCAGCATCCACCAGGAACTCTTCCCGGTTCCCTCGTTCTGAACCCTGATGAACTTGCTGTGAAGCGAGAGATTGTGGCGGATTGAATTCTACAAAAGCAACCAAAAAAAACAGTCAGAACCACCTCCAACAATTCATTGCTTTAGTTAAATAATTGTACGCTAAAACTCCGCAGCTACACAATTTTCTCAAACACTTCCACCAAAATAGCAGCCTCCAAAATTAACCTTAAGATCAATGAGATACAATAATGGATAGCCTGATGTGTTCATTCTTTATAGCCAGTCAGCCATCGTAGGTGGACGAGGACCAGAGCATTTAGTCTGTTAGCCTAATTACACTAAGGAGTCGTTGACAAATAGAAGAAACCATACATTCGTTCCAATGCAGCTTGTGGATTAAAAGGAGAATTGGAGACTTGAGTTTTCCAAACTAATTCTGAAGTTTTAAAGACCTACATTCACCTGCAAAGTACATAGTCAATTCACTTTATAGTATATTTTGGGAAGGGCTTTGAGTGTCTGAACAACGTGATAAGGTCCTACATCAAATACAAGGATTATTATTATTTATTATTATTATTACCACCTCTTTTACTACACTTTTGAAGAAAGTTCAAAAGCGCTTCACAAGATTCACTGTGAAGTGTAGTGGCTGTGTTTATTTTCTAGGTGAGCGCAGCAGCCAATTTGAGCACAGCAAAATACTACAGACACAAAGGTGAAAATAATAATACAAAAAATAATCCTTGCATTTGGTATAGTGCCTTTCAGGTCAGGAGGATAATAATAATAATAATAAGTTACATTTGATATAGCACCTTATCACATCTTCAAGACGTCTCAAAGCACTTCACAGATTATTCTGTAAAGTGAATTGACTGTACATTTTGTGGGCGAAAGAATGTCCCAAAGCACTTCACAGGCTACACTGCAAAGTGGAATGGATGCGTGTTTTGACAGTTTGGGACAAGATAAAAACCTGAATGCATTATACAAAGATCTTGTGTAGCTTCAACATGAGGAATAATGAGGTTGGCAGTCTGCCTCTGTCTCCCCCAACCACTGTAAATATAGGTTGTTAACAACATGTTGCTTGTGTCTGGAATCCAGACGAACAACATTTGGAAAAAAAAATCACATTTTGCTTGTTAAACTAGAGTCCTCTTAAACTTTAATCTCCAGCTGCTTGAGAAGACAGTCTTTGTAATCATACACTTTGTGGTAAAATGCTCGTGGTTCTATTATTATCTTAAAATTTAAGTTGGAAATTCCTTAAATTCAGTCTTCGTTCTGTGGAATAGTTTGTTTTTGCTGTTCTTACAACTTGAGACCATAAAATAATAATAATACTACTAATAATTGTTGCATTTGGTATAGCGTCTTATCTCATCATTGAGACGTCTCAAAAAGCTTCACAGAATATACTGTAAAGCGAAATGAGTGTATATTTTTGTGGGTGAAACGCGGCAGCCAATTGCGCACAATCGGTGTACAGCCTTGCATAATACCTTGTCAAGAGTTATTAGAGTGCAGCTCAATTATAAACATGCATTGTTATAATGCAAACCCGTGACTATAACCTGAGTTCAATTCCAGGCAGAGGGCGAAACCTTGCGCAAGTTTCCTTACTCCACACGCCTAATAATAATCCCTCCAAAAAAACAAAACAATAATAAATTGGGTAGTTTCAATCCATGATCGTTTGTGGGATGTTGCTGTGCGCAATTGGCTGCCACGTTCGCCCACGTCTAGAAGACGTGAAAAGCGCTATATCAAATGCAAGGATTATTATTATAGCGTGATTGTAGTGAGAACACATTTACTGCAAAGGTGTGCATTGAAGCTAGCCGGCCAAATTGTGTGTTAAAATGGCCAACTGCCGGATTATATTAGGTCACCATCGACTTCACGTTTGCCGCACAGGTGCATCTTTGCCTCCTATACCACAAACGTGGCCACCTTCCGGGTAATCAGGTTGTTCTTCGTTTCAATTTTATGGATCCCAATCAGAGTTAGAATAGCAGCTCCACTGCTGGGGGAAAGCGCTCCGGGGGGGCTATCCGAGGTGAAGGGGGCTACATAAATGCAAGTTGTTGCTGTTGTTGAAATTCCATCTGGGTCTAGATTTACTTAATTTTCAGTGTCCAGTTTGTGGCAATTCAGTCTCAACTTTGAAGCTGGTCAAAAGAATTTACATAAATAAATATCAATATAATCATAATCCTTGCATTTGATATAGCACCTTATCATTTCATTGAGGCGTTTTGAAGCGCTTCACAGGACATACTGTAAAGTAGTTTGACAGTATTTTGTGGGAGCAATGAATTAAGCTTCACAATTAAGGCAGTATTTAAAAATTTGCATAATTCTGGCACTCTGAAAATACTAAAATAGAGTAGATCTACTTAAGAGTGCCATAAATCCCGAGGTGGAAATTATAATATAATAATAATCTTTGCATTTGATATAGTGCCTTATCACGTCTTCGAGACGTCTCAAAGCGCTTCACAGAATACACTGTAAAGTGCAGTGACTGTGTATTTTGTGAGTGAATCGCGGCAGCCAATTGAGCACAGCAGTGTCCCACAAACAGTCATGGATTGAGTGACCAAATTATTATTTTTATTTATTTTATTGAAGGGATTATTACCCCCGGAAAGCAAGCCGCCAATCGACTAACAGCCGGGTTCCTACCTACTGCTCGGTAAACAGAGGCTTGTGGAGTAAGGAAACTTGTCCAACGTTTCGCCCTGCCCGGCAATCAAATTCAGTAAACAATCCAGACTAATCAGGAGTAGTCACTCATCAGATAACTGGAGTCCTGATCAATTGTAAATCACTGTTCCTGACAAAACACTTAGCCATCTGCAGCACTTTACAGTCTGCAAACACACAGGCAAGCACCCAAAATGTCTTTGCAGATTGTACACATACAAAGAAGTTAGAAAGTTCTCTGTACTCCAATGCATCTACACCATACTGTGGATACTGCTGTGTGCAAATTGGCTGTCGCGTTTGCCTACAAAGCAGTCACTACAAATTTAAGAAAATCCTTTGAGACCTGAAGGGCACTAAATCAAATGCAAGGAATATTATATTTATTATTCGTGTCTAGCTGATATGCAGTTTTATACGTTTGATGTGCAGTATTCAGTATTAAGCATTTTGAGACAGCTCAACCACAATATATGATTAAGAGGCTACATCAAATGCAAGGATAATTATTAGAACAACAACAACTTGCATTTATATAGTGCCCTTCATGCAGGATAGCATCCAGGAGCATTTGTTATAAGACAGTAAGCAGCTTTGCAATAAGTAAAACCCTTTTCATTAAAGTAAATAACTTTAAATAAAATGAACCCCCAGCAATAAAGAAACATTTGCCAATGAGCAAATTATTTCTACATTACAATTGCACTGAATACAAAAACATTGGTCCCTTTTGGGTCACAACAGCAGTTAGTTGCCTTATCCACACACAGCTCACGGTTCGTCATGCATGTGGTCTCTTTTTACTTTGTTTTTGGTAAGTGAAAACAGACGGACACCTACAGAGGCAGTGACTCGCTTTGTGATTCCGTTCCAGCAGTTACGATCAATGGGTGGGTTTTGAGGTCACGCTTGCAGCCACACTGCCGCCCGGCTCCTGATGCAGCCAAAAAAGACATTAAAGTCTCTTCTCCCCACCCGCTCACCCTCCCTAACAGGAAAAGGTCAGTAGGGTCGTTAAGAGCAATTCCTGTTTTTCTCCCCCCCCCCTCCCCGCCCCCTAACCCCCAAGTACGAAGCACAGACCATAAATGAAAATGTAATTTACCAACTCGGAAAAAGAAATGATCGAGCGGTAAACTTAGAAAAATATGTCCTGCTGTTAATGATGTTGTGTCTGCAGATCATGCCAGACACAAACACAGAACCCGATGAACGTCTAAATTCTCCAAGAGGGAACTTGGCAACAGATAGTGATCTGCCCTACAGCTTTTGGCAATGTTTTTGCACTTTTTGGTGTGCTACTGTGATCATCTTTCCACACACAGCACGTTACAATCACATACACAGTACTTGCCGTGGGCTTCGTGTGGGCCAGTGACACTAAAAAAAAATCTAATTATAGGTTTTCCATTCACCCGGTTTGCACATATTGCCTCAAGCAACTGCCCTCAATGACTTGGCTTGATGTCGAATCAGTTAAATTGATGAGTGATGGCAAGCTTTCATAACTTGGGTGGCAGATCCTGCTCCTCAGCTCCTTTGGCTCCTCAGCCAAAGCAGTCAAGCTAGGTATCTGCAGGAAGTGGCCTGGGAGGTCCAACCACATGCAGAGCTTTGAGCTGACAGTTTGGACTGACACTCCAGTGCATTGTCGGAGATCGGACTTTGGATGAGACGTTAAGATGAGGACCTGTCTACCTGTTCAGGTGGACGTTAAAGATCCAATGACACTGTTTGAAAAGAGAAGGGAGTTTCTTTCCCAGCGTCATGGCCAACAATCCCCTCGATAAAATTGGTCATTCACATCATGAATGTCATGCACGGTGACGTGGGCATTGCTGTCTGCAAATTGGCTGCTGCGTCTGCCTGCAAAGTTTAGTCTGGAGACTTCACAGTGATTTCTGTGAAGCACCTGGAGACAGTGAGACGTTTGAGCTTGATTGCATGATAACGCACCATATAAAATTCAAGGATTCTTCTTCTTCTGCATAACCAGTGATTTCATATATATTGTGGTCTAATGTTACAAAGAACCTGCTTTTGATACTACCTTAATTGTCGCATTGAAAACTGTTTGAAAGGGCTTCGCAGGGCAATTACTGTAATACTGTAATTTTGAAGGCAAATGTGGCAGCTAGCTATTTGCATGTCAACAATTAGCCGTGGGGTGAATGATAACGAGATCCTGGATGCCATGCGGGAAACAGGCAAACAGGACTTTACATCCCACCTAAAAGGTAGCACCTCCAACAGTGTGGTGGTTGTCCATTGTTATCATAGAATCTTACAGCAAAGAAAGAGGCCATTCGGCCCATCGTGCCTGTGCCGGCTTTTTGAAAGAGATACCCAGTTAGTCCCACTCCTCCGCTCTT